TCCTCCTCATGTTACTTACCACTAATTATGGCATATATTTACATCTATAAAACAGTGAAATTTTGGGGGACATAATTTAATGTCCCTTTATTGTGTAGATTCCTTTATTGCAATCCCACATTTGAATTTCAAAAATGTTTAGGACTTCAAAGCATCTTTAAAAGCTTGCCCTAATTATAATATGCATTACTTTCTAAAACTCCTAGTTTGCATTGCAGATTCCTGCAAAGAGAGGCATTCATTTTAAACATCAATTAATATCATCCATGCATCTTCAGATGAGTTTGGGTCTTTATTTCAGAGTTGCACTGAGCTCCAACTAAGCTTTCTTCAGTTTGAAGAACAGTTCAAGCTACTGCAAACATTTAAAATCAAGCCAGTGGATCAGATCAGTAGAAAGCCTGACAGCCCAATATTAATTTATATCACCTGGCTTTTTCCTTCTGCCACTTGTTAGAAAACATCCCCTCTCCTTTCAGACATATTTGCTACCCATAACTGTCCCTGTAGCTGCAGAAGTCAAGAGTTCAGGCCTGGCACAGAGCTTTGAGCAGTGTCAGAGACACAAAACCTATGGCCACATCATTGCAAGGTGTATTTTCAAAGGAACGAAGGAGCCCAGTGGAGGCACGGACCCACTGCACGATACTGTGGATTACGTAGAAAAGTCATGCAAAAAGAGAATCCCTGCCTCTGACTGCAGTTAGAGCTTAAGGCAAAACACAAGAGAGAAATAACTAGCTAAACCAGAAGAATTTAGTCTAGGCTGCAGCAAACAGATATGCACGGCTGAATTAACGTTAAAGGCGCTCCTACCAGAAAAGAGCGTTTGCCAGGTGAACTAGCACTAGACAGGGACAAGTTACAGAGCTGGCAAAGCCAGGAGGGGCATAAAGGGAGACAACGAGCTGTGCCTTCCTAGAGAAATTCCCTTTCCAGAGTTAATGGAGATGCATGTGCTCATAACAGCAGAGTCAAAATGAAGGTATTGGAGATGTGGCTGAGGGATATTGGATTCAAAAGGGAGGTGGTGCGAGTGGGACAGACATACCGTCAGCTTTCTGCAAGAGAATGTGGAGAGCTGAGGGTGCAGAGTGCTGGGCAATCAACGCCGGGGGCCAAGAAGGCAAGGCCAGCAGCAATGGTTTAGACAGACATTTTGGGGTAAAGCTGGAGGTGTGAGCTATCATTTCGTTTGAATGCTTTCAGGAGGCCCACATTTTGGGGTAAAGCTGGAGGTGTGAGCCATCATTACGTTTGAACGCTTTCAGGAGGCCTAAGTGTATTATTTAGCATTAGATAATTTAAGAACAGTAGTGAGTAGTCAGTGGGGACAGCATTAGATATCAATGTGAGTAGACTTCAGCCAAGAGAAGAAACCAACAGAAGCAAGATGTGTTGACTTGGTTTTAGATAGGCTAGTCAGAACTTCAAAGACCGGAAAACTTCAGGGCTTTTCTCAAGTCATACAAATAGTTCAAGTACAAACTGACCAACAGGTATGTTGACCTTACGCAGTTTAAGATTAGATGGCATGAACCATACGGGATTGTTTTACATAGATGGGGCTTGTTAGTGACTAAGGTAACAGAAGCAGGATTGTGCACTCAGCCTGCACCCAGGGAAAGGTTTCCTCTGCAGATATTCTGCAACCTTGTCTGAATTCTTTGTCAGTGTTCTAACAAACAACTTATACATTTATTTAAGAACCTTTATTTTTGTTTTAATTTCGCATACCTGTAATCTCCAGTTTCACATCATTGTCACACAAATTTCCTGTGCCGGTCATTCCTGTCAGTATGTTTTTCCTTATTTACTCATTGTACTGAGTGCAAATCCCACCAAGTAAAGCTCCTTCTATCTATTACTGTGAAAGCCTGTCTCTGGGGTGACTTCCCCGAACTCTCTGGTTCCCAGTGACTACCTGGGATAAACAGCAGCAAGGAGTCACTGCATTCAAGGCACAAGACAAGGACCTGGAAACTGCCCTGCAGGACTGTGAGGTTGGTTGGTTGAGGTGGTGTGAAAGGAGAAGCCTCTTCCTTTTACACTGCCTGCACTGTTAAGTAGGAAGAGGCCTAAAAGTGTGACATCCAGATGTGTCACCAGGACTGAGGCCAGAAGCTCATCCATTCCCAGCAGCAGGGATTGTTTCACAGGAGATACAATCTGTATGGACCAATAAACCTCTGCAAAGCAAAGCAACACTTTGCTTTGTACTCCATACCTGTGATGCTTTGCAAAGTCAACTCCACAATTGCCAAATATCTTCTTGCAAGATCTCAGACCTTTCCCTCCCACTTTTTTGTAATCAAACTTTATTACCTTTATCACAGGGAAAACTAGGCTGCTGAGAAGTCTCAAGCAGAACAAAATGGGAAAGAGCAAGAATACTCTTTATGGCTGCCAGAGCTAAGACACTTTCTGCCTCAGTCATCCTCAATGCAAGTGCTGGTCTGTGGTCTTCCTGTTTCCCATCTTTCCTTGCCACACTAGATTTAATGTCTAAACAAAATTTTGCTTTTTGCTGCCACCAGTGACATGCTGACTTCTCTTCAAATCCATTTACAGGCCCTACCATCCCTTCTGGCATCAAATCCTCACCTTCGCTTTCAAGCTTCCACATGCCATGACACCTGCCTGCTTTCCTTCTCTGGTTTCTCTCGACTCCTTTCACTCATAGTCCCTGTTTTTCTTTTGTTGATTCTCCTGGCAGTGCTTTCTCACCTGTACTTATTTGCCAAACACTAATTCATAGTCCTCTTTTACTCACATTACAATCAAATTCCACCAAAACGTGGACTGTCACTGGACACTGATACTAGGGTGCACTCAGTAGCTTACAGCGCTGAGCAAGCTGTTGATGGTTAAATGATAATGAAGGGAGAAGACAACAGAAAGGACGGGAAGGGGGGAATGGCTAAATAAAGGGTGAGAGTATTTTGGGCAAGCAATAACCACACAACATGAACAGAACCTGGGAGAAGTTGAGGTTTCAGAGTAGGAGGAGGTAGCGGATGATGAGGATAGAGTGGATACTGATTCAGAAGTGGATACTTCATTTAAAAGGCGAAGAACAAAAAATTAATCTATTTTCGTATTAATAAACTTGCAGTTATTAATAGGGTCAAAAAGATTGTCAGCGTCCTTTGCCAGCTTTACACTGTTTAGAAAAGTTTCTCAACACTCTGCATAAAAATGGGAACACCACCCTTTTTTTTCTGAAGAAATATCCTATTGGGGTGAAAGAAATTAAGGACAGTGACCTGACTGTTTAGGATCTAATTCTCATGAGTAATTACATAGCCGTCTTCTGATTTTCCTATACATATTTCGAGCTGAGTGGCACTGGTGTGAAGTTTATTCCTAGAAGGGCATTCATTGTGACTCTCGCTACACTCCAACAGTGCCCCTGGCACCTTCCCACTGCCTCACTCACCTGATGAGAGAGAAAATCCACCAGCTTGTTTCAAGGTCATGGCTCAAGAAAGCATTCTCACCACATTTTTAATGTGTAACTCAAAAGGATGCTAGCAATGTATGATTTTTAATCTTGAAGTTATTACAACATAAAATTGTATTAAAAAACCATTATGTTGGAAGGCACAGTGAGGTTAAGAAATGTTGGATGGAAGTTGCCTGCACATCCTGACTGCTGAACTGCATCATGATACAGTCTTTAGCTACACGACTGCACGCTCGCCCTCTGAGCATCCATACAATATTTCTTTCTCGTCATTATTCAGTGTGGCCCAGTCCCTATTTCCTGCACACTACTCAAAACCTGTGCTGAACACAGAGTTATTAATTTTATAAAGGTTTTCTTCAAGCCCCATTAATTTCTCAATAGATCTTTTCTGCAGTCCAGCACAGCTCCTGCTCAGTGGTTTATCCTTTCTACACTCAGATTTGAGAAAAGAGTCTTCCACATTCCCGGTTTCCAGTTACAAATCTGGTGCCACAGAAACTCTCGGCAAGATATGACATCTGGGGTATGTACAAGGTGGAGAGTATTTCAGGTCACAGATAAACTTTAACTGAAAGCAATAAACACCAGGAAATCTGATCAAAAGCAGTGATTCCACAACAACCTTTTCTGCTTTCAGCATTAACCTGTCCACCCTGTAGTTAGACCCTGAATATGCCCCTTTCACTGAGGTTTTAAAAGACAAATTTCAAATGTTTAGATGATAACTGTTGCTATGAAAAGGAGTATACCACAAAAAATACCCCAACAAATTAATGAGTAGAAAAAGCTTCAGTGTAAGCATAAAGCCCAGCCTAGAGATTTCATGATCCTTTTGGATGATGCAATAAGAAAAATCTGATGTATCAATTACATTTATCAAAACTAGATCAGTATAGAACATCTTAGCTTTCTATTGAAATTCTTTTTTCACTCTTGCTCCCAACTGAAATGAACAGATATAGCTTTTGGAGCAGAGTCCCCTGGCTGACTAACAAAAAGGCAAGGGGAAAGCAGATGTGCTCTAGCAATCCAAAAATGTTTAAGAGAAACCCTGGAACCCTCTCAGGCTCACAGTCGTCCTGCTGCACACTCGGTTCAAATCCGACTTGGTCCTACCTGCCTAAGTGTGGCCCGATCACAGGACTGATACTTGTACTATCTGCATTTGGCAAGAGTTCAATATTCGAAACACTAAAAAGCAGTCTCCATTTCTGCAGCTTCCCCGTTTTTTCGTGGACCACTAGATGGCAGTTCCCCATTTCCAACCGAGGGCTCCCGTTACCTGTTTGCTCCTGCCCAGCAGCTGTGTCAAGCACAGTTGGGGCACGCATCTGCCTTTGCATGTTGTCTGCAGACTTCTCATGGAGCTGTCAACAAGAGTGGCTCTGGGCCAGCATCCTACCTGAAGGATATACAGCTTTGCACTTTTAAATGACGACGGAAGAAATTTCCACAAACACCCTGAAAGGTGCTAAATTCTAAAGACAGGCCTTATTGACAAGAGAGGTTCTCCACGTCATGTCTTACTCACCCAGAATTTTACGAGGAAGAAAGCGTTTTGGGGCCCCTTCCCAAACAGTTCCTTTAGACCGCCCTTCTTTTCAGGAAATTTGTCATAAATCTGACGAATGTCCACCGATTCAAGCAACGGGTCACTGTAAGAATGGTTAGCGTGTCCAATGTGTACGAAGAGGTGTTTATTGTACTGCAAGAAAGAAACAGGAAAATCAATGCTGTACAAAAAGAACAGAGCTTTATTAAGGCACGGGTCTGCGTGTGCTCCTGAGGAGGGTAGCGTGCTTTGATGGCTTAAATGACTTGCACATTACTCCTGGGACCATGATTTTCTGCAGTATGATTTCCAAGAACAACTTAGTGATTGTGTTGCAGCCCCTTGTGAACAAGGGTCAACATCAAAAAACCTGTGTCCCTACTGCAAACCACAAAACATGGTCATCTTCAAGGGAGTAATTTACGCTGAAAGACCCAGCAGCAGCACGGTGATAAAGAGCCCTTCGCAGAGCGTAATAAGATGAATATGCTCACAAGGAAAGCCTATTTCTGCCTCTTTAAACCACGGCTTTTAATGTTCCTTGTCCTCAGAGCCTGAATTTCTGCTACTGCCACAGAGCCCACACATATACACTTCCTGCTTGTCTATCAAAAAACCCCAAACCTCTACCTATAGCTTATGCTAATGCCCTTAACTAAGAGAGGCGGAAGGGATTTTCTTTCACCTCCAGAATGACAATAACGAGAAGGCTGGTTACTCTGTGTTGCTGTGACTATGGAAGTGGTCCTCATTGTACGTCCTCCAGTATTTTGACCCATGCAATATTAAAGAGCCAAACTTTTACCACTTCCTTTGGAAGCTAGCTCTATAGATGACCATCTCTGCCAAAACACATTCAGCTTCAATTTCCTAATTCTTAATTTCATCCCAGTCCAGCTCGTTATAATCACAGGAATCCCCTCAGCAAACCCTTTCCTGCCTGGGGGAACCCTTGGCCCAGTGAAGTCAGCAGCAGCCCCCTGCTCAGTCCGATACGGTCTTTCAGGGGCTGCCACTCCTCCAAGATGAGAGCACCTTTCAGCACCTGAAATCAAAGTGGAAGGATGAACCCCAAAGACCCTTCACTTGTCAGTCAGCAGCTCACAGGGTCAGTGGCAGGATTAAACACTGGGGTTTTTAACCATGCAGATCACAAAACATTTTGCTGACTCAATTAAAGGAAAGCTGAAATGCAGTCAATGAACACTACAAACCCCTGCATACTGAACAGATGCTGTGTATAAGGGGCAATTCCCAAAAGCTAAGCACAAATAAAACTATTTAAAACCCCATGGCAGACCTCATTTAAGCTATTTTGTTTACAGTATACCTGCTGAATGAACAAATTGAAATGACAAATCTAAATTAATTGGACATCCACTCAGAGCCTTCCTTCGGTGCAAGCAGAGTCTTCCCTAGCAGATGTCCAAAACTCTGGGGAAAAAGGAAATGGACTGGCTAGATTTCTGCACTTAGGAAATTAATTTGAAATCTATTTAAAAATCATTTAGCACAGTGAAATCTGAATTTAGAATCAGAAAACACTCATCTGTGTATGAGGCCAAAACTGAGATATGGTCTGTGCTTTTCAGTTGTATTTCTTTTCTAATTTTGCAGGAGGAAAAAGTGTAACACTTTATTAAGATGTTTGCACAAGCAAGTCCAAGTCTGAGAGCGCCAGTTCCATGGATTTTCCTTGCAGCCCTCTTTCAAAACAATGCCATCCGAGCTAGCCCTCACCCAGCACTGGTTTCGCTTGCACGCTGACCATTGCACACACTGCAGGAAATCACTGTACTGGTTGGCAACCGAGTGGCTACCATAACAGTGTCCGTGATCAGTTCAGCACGTTACTTTATGTAGTACTGGCAAAAGTAGACTGAGGAGACATTTTAACATGACAAAACAAACAAAACAAAAAATGCAAAATAATATGAGAAAGCACCTTGGCTCAAACTTTAGGGGTTTTGACACTTGTCACATATTCAGCAAGCAGTACTGTGAGTAAACAACTAAAAGTCATGCGGAACGTTTCTTATGTATCTTCCTGCCTACCAAAAAAGTTAGATCTCAGTAAAATGTATCGGTGCCCCATATACCCAGGAGCTGCCAGGAACGCAACAAAGGGAGTCCAGAAACCTGCTCCTGCTGCTTTCCCAAGGAGGGCAGGGCACAGGCTGGGTCACCGAATGTGGTTATCAAGGGAAGCCTGTCTGCCATCAGGCAAACATCTCTGTTTCTCAAGTAGAATGATGAGAATTCCCTGGTAGAGGTAAGCACTTCAGCCTTCTCTGAAAAATTCAGATGAACCATTTCCCTTCCCCCAGCACCCCAGTAGCCTGCCTAGGAGCACCCAGCAGCTGTGCTCTGCCTGGGGATGTGAGATGCCCCAAAGCACCTCTCTGCTCTCCCTCGTTCAGAGTAAAGGCTTGAAAAACCACCCCCACCATTAATGACTGACCAGGTTATTATTTATTTTGGGGTTGTTTCCTCTCAGTCTTCTCTGCTGGAGTGGTTCCAGGTTGTACAAATAACCGCATTTTTATAGGAAGGGAACTGAAGGCTCAGGTTCTCATGAGCCCAGGAAAACTTTCTCCCCAAAAGGGGGTCTCTCTCCCAGGCCCAAAGGTGGCTGTGGGGTGAAGGAGGAAAGGAGAGCTCTATTTTACTTTTTGGCAACTGCAAATTCCCAAGACAACTGACACACTGTACCCTATTCTGCAAACCAGGAAAATATACAAATTGCTCAGTATCCAAACTTCCGTAAAAGCAAACACATTTACAGGAACAGGGACCACGAAGTCTTAATACTGTTTAAACACAAAAGCAAAGTTAAAGGCAGCTGTAAAGCTACCACAGTTGTCTGCGGAGCTTGCCAAAGTACCAGATGCTGCTGCAGCAAAATTTCCGAGTGGGTACAGTAGGACAGATGGTATGACATCACCTGACAACATTCTTAGGACAGAAATGTTTATTTTGATATTGCAATGTGTGATTATTTTGTCCTTATGTTGCTGCAATTCCTATGCTAAGTACAATCATTACTAAGCTAATTAGAGATGGCATATTTCTATGAACTAACAAACAATATAATATTAGGAGCAAGGTAACTGGACACTGAAATGATCCCGATCATTTTTATGCAGACATACTCCATGACAGGAATTTATGCATAGATAAAAGCAAAGAAGGTAAGTTTTATGCCACTATTTTTGAGCCCATTAGCATCTGAAAAGCTTAAAAACATCCTCATTACACTAAGAATTCACTGTTCTTTTAGAATCATTGAAGTACATTAGATGCTGAGGAATTTACTCACACTACAGCATTTAAAGGATTTGCATCTGGCATTGAGGTAATAACATGCTTTAGAAGCTATAAACCATCATAGGTCAAATCCTGTATTTTCTGAGGATAAAAACTACATAAAAGTACACAGAACACTTTCAGCTGTCTTCAGCGTCTGCATTACACGACATGCCCTGGAGATGGCTGCCTCTTACTGAGCTCCTTTCCTTAAAAAAATTCTAACTATCCAAAGAATGCAGTAAAGCCATGAAATATGACTGTTGTCAAATAATACCACGAGAAAAATTATAATCCACTTAGGAATTTAAAAGAACCAAGACAAATTGCCAATGGCAGGGGATGCAAGCATTTAAGCTGGTGCAGAACAAAGATAAATCACCTACATGTGTTTTATCAGCCAGCATATATATTTGTAACTGCTCCTCACCAATTTTGTGCTTATATTCTAAGGCAACAGCCTTTCTGCCCCGTGAAATGCAGGTTTGCAAATTGCTACAGCTCTCTCTGACACATCTCTGTGCTTCCCCGTACCTGTGGAGCTAATGCCAAGCCTTGACAAGCCTGCACAGGACCAATTTTTTAATTAAACAGTGGTGGCCAAGATGCAGGTGGCAGTGAAGCCAACCCTCTCATGCTCCTGGTGCAAGCGAGCCGGGCTGCAGAGCTGCTGGGGCACCCGCTCCCTTGCTGCTCCTGTCCATCAGGCTGCGTGGCCCTATAAAACCACACTGAGCAGCATGTGGGGGTGAGTGGCTCCCCGGGCCCTGCCCAGGCTGGGTGACAGATATGTGGAGCAAGGTGGAAGGCAGGTGGCCCGAGAGAGAGCCCCCATCCTTCGGTGAGGATGACTTTGCTCGTGGGCTCAGCACCCTGACGGCATGGGCGCTGTGCCCTCCTGCTGCACCCAGGGGCACGGCCATGATTTCACCCCCCCAGAATCATACCCACAGGCCTGGAGTCACCCCCACACCGGTGCAGTCGGGGTAAGCTCCTCTGCAAACGCCCCTGGCCGGGCAGCGGGACACCCAGTTGGCAGCTTGCTGGAGCTCGCACATCCCTGGGACGGTTGAACAGGGCAGGGAGGTGGCAGCACCCCCCACCTTGTCTGCATTGCACGGCCTAATAACAGCACCTGGCTGGCTGGGCTGCTCCGCCAGATCTGTAGGTTCCTGCAGATTTCAAGCATAACAGCCAGGAGGGTGAGGCTGTCTATATCACTACTTGCAGCAACAAATCCCTGTGAGAAAATACCACAAGGAGAGGCTGGCAACTCGAATGGACCTTGTTCTTGTGCACCCAAAGAAACTCCATCACCCAAAGGAGAAGCACATGTATGTTGGGACCAAACATACTCTGTAGTGGAGGTCACAAGGACGACTGCTGCGGCTCGGAGGGACAGGTGAGGGGAAGGCAGGTGGATGGACAGCCTAAGCTTTCATTGAAATGAGAGAAAAAAGCACTGCTCAAGTGCCTGGTACCGTGCAGTGATTTCCTCTGTATCTCCACAGACTGGTCCAACCCCATTTAAAAATGCACCTCTGCCTGTGCAGCCACTGTGCTTCTGAAGGAAAAAGGAGCCAGGTGGGGTGGGCTGATTAAAAACCAACCACTAGTGTATCAGCGGTCTGCGTGCGGCTCTAACCT